ATGCATAGAGAACTTCTCTCCCCTGCTGTGCCCACCAATAGCTGCACAGCAGAGGCGAACTTGTTGCAGTGTGTAACACAGGCACATGATTGCTTGGACCAGAGAGCGGCTGTCCCTTCTCCAGCGTGTAAATGCTTCTCCAAGGGCACATTTTCAGCTGGGGGCTGTTGATTTCCTCAGTACATGGGCCAACAGCACTAGGGAAACTGACCTTCTGAGGCAGCTGCTCTTCTCCTTTTTTCCGCTCTCCACTTCCAAATGCCCTCTTTGGTATCCCAGTGCCTAGCATCATAAGCCACTTGCTCTCTTGTCCTTAAAAACAATGGGGCTCAGAGTGTTGGACTCTTTGGAGAAGCAAGGGTCTATTTTTAGCTGAGCTGCTTTGGAGAACTGTTGGGTAGGTGCAGGTGCAGTGTTGGAGGATGAGTTTGGAGCTTGTGGCTGCTGAGATCTGAGCAGAGCTCGGGTGAGTCTGGGAGGTTTGCTGTTCCCCTGGGGGTGTTGCAGGGAGGGGGCTGGAGTGGGTGTAGCTGGCGATACGTACAGGCAGCCAAAACCTGGTGTTGTAATGTCTGAGACGGGCTGAGTTTGGAAAAAGCCCCGATGATATCACCCTGCAGAACTGTTAACAGCAGAGCGCAGGAAAGGAAACATTCACAAGTCCTTTCCAAATCTGCAAAGGAGAGGAATTAATACTCCTTCTTCCCATACATACCAGTCTGCTTGGAAATGGCTTTCATTCATGACCAGGCATCAGGAAAGACAGTTATTCCTCTTTTTTCTCCTTGCTGCTGCAATCTCCCTGCCACACGTAGCGGAGTGCTGAGGGCAGAGTGCAGGAGCTCATCTGTACCAGCTCCCTGCAGGGATGCTGACCTCTGCAGCCCATGCTGCCATTTTGCTTAATCCACTTCCAGAAGAGGTAAACAAGCCATGGTGCTTCTGCTGTTACCTCAGAGTATCCACAAATCAATTAAGTTCCACAGGAACCCTCCCATGCTCCTTTCTTGTGGCTGCTCTCTTTGCAGCTTGCCATGACCCCTTGCTGTCCTACACCACCACCAGCACCGTCTGAGCCAGGTACAAGTCCTGAAACAAAGATCTCCCCTGTGTGCTTCAGCTGTGGCCAGCACAGCACTGCCCTCCTGCTTAGGAAAGCATCTCTGGAGGAGGTGGGAGTGAGACCAGGCAGAGAATGCTTAACCGATTTCAAATCTGCTTTTTAGTGTGGTCCACCCACTGTCACAGTATCCTTGGGAGGATGGGAAGGAGGAGCTTGGAACTAGAGCCAGTTCATGTGAATTGAGCGAGCAATATCCTGCACAGCACAAGGAGTGTGAAGTATGATGTCAACCAGTCACTGAGTGAACTAGGCAATTATCTTTGTGATTTTTCTTCAACCAAGACGTAGAGAACGAATGTGAAACATTTCCCTCTAGACTTTCATGCAGCATGACTTTCGGATTGACAGGGCTGTTGTGTCATACTGCGAACAAGTGAATGCAGGGCTGCTTTGACAGGGAGGGTGTTCTCTTTTAGCCAGCTGCTCATTGCCAGTGTGCAGCCTTGCTTTCCCTTTTCTCCAGCACTCAGTAGTATGGGCTGGTCTTCCTCTACCATCTGTGATGGATGAGATCAGTATGCAGCTCCCACCCTCCTGCTCACACTAGAGCCAACTTCATGGGCAACCTGAGGAAGGGATAAAGCAGATAACAATCTTTGTCTGTGGCTTTCATAAAACTTAAAGTCCTGGGCTCGGGCTTGGCTGCAGTCTGGCTGAAAAAGGGCTGTGATTTATGCTTGAGCGCATCAGCTTAGTAGCAAATGTAATGCTACCCTTAGGGAACCAGAAGGATAAGAGGTGAAATTGACTTAATAGTATCTATCAATGCTTTTTTTTCTTTCTTTCTTTCTTTCTTTTTTTTTTTTTTTTTGAGTGAACCCCAGAGGACAGTGGGAAGCAAGCAAGACAGGGAGCCTGTGCTGTGTTATGGCTGCAGGCTAGGCCAGTGTTTTTCCTCTCCTGTGAGGAGAGTGAGAGTCTTTCTCCCAACAGTTCAAATATTGTAACCTGAACTGGGGATAGTTGGAGCTGTTGACAGAGTGGAGAGATAGACTGAGCATAATGCTAACCAATTTAGCCAAAAGATGACTAAGGTGGGGAAAGGATTGTTGACTCCAAACATCTGTGAGGAGATGGGAATTGCATTAACAAGGGAGAAAATTTAGATGGGAAAGTACTTCCTAGAAGTGAACTGTACCTCCCCAGGGAGGGGGTGGGGGTCCTGTATCTAGCAAGATTGGAATAGCAGTTAGTAACAACAAATCTGATTGCTTGCCATCTACTGATAACAAATAATGCAAAATAAGTCTTGATAAATAGTCAGATAGCAACCTGATAAGAACCAAATGCAGAAGCCAGGGGCATGAGCAGGGTGGGACTTTAGTATTTCTGATGCTGGCAGTGTGTCCGGGAGTTCTTGTGACTTACTTGAGCCATGAAATTCTGTATTTAAGTTTTTCCTCATTCATACTTCAAATCAGAAGTAAACTCAATTCCTGGGCTCCTTCTCTGAGATTTTTTAATTAACGAGGAGTGTAGTACAGCAATGATCAATTTGCACTTTATTTGCTGGCAGTGAGATTGCAGAGACAACCACAGAGCTTTATGTCACTCCTATGCTGTTTGAAGAGAAAGATCTCCCAGCAAAGATAGCAGAAAAGCAAATTTATGACTGTGGGGAGTTTTACTGTGATACGAGCCAGGGGCTGAAGTAGGGACGTGAGTGGACAACCAAATCCAGGAGTACGTGAGAAGCAATTCCTCTGAGATGTGCCCAAGTGCCTAGATACCCTGGAGTGCTAATGGGTGTCTTGAATACAGGGCGAGCAGATCTGTGGGTGAGAAGAGGAACTGCACCTGTGGGCCCAAGTGAGCCCCAACATCCAAACTGGAGAAGAGAGAAAGTTCCTCTGTGGCAACTAACAGTGTCCTATTGATATGCCATTCAAAAAAAGTGGGGTAAGGCCAGGGCTCTTCAGTATTTTGGGGCTTTGGCTCAGCTAGTGATGATTCTTTTATTTAGTTTGGTAACACTGGAGCCGGGTAGCAGCATTTTGTCTTCTTTGCAATCCTGAAACCTTGGTTCTATTTAGCACGGGCATTAATGCCAGCTCCAGAGGGTTAAAATGTGAAAGGGAAACACCCTTTGCTTGTGCCCTTGACCAGCTGGTCTGTTGATGATTATCTCCTAAGTGGCAATCATAAGATAAGAGGGAAAATGTGACTGAGGGTGCTGGAAGAACTGAGGCAGTACTGTCCATCACCTGCCCCAACAGTGAAAGAGGAAGTGGGTGACTTAGGGCCTAGGGACAGAGCAGGGACAGGATGGAGGTGACAGCTAACTAGCAGGACTCCGTCTGAGAATGGTTGGATGCTGCCCATGGGAGTCAGCCTCTGTCACCCAAGAAGCTTTGTGAGGGAGAGGTATTCCCAGCCTTGCCTTGCAGGAGCCCCACCTCATGGAAATGTCAGGCTGTTGGGCACTTGATCATGTAAAAGTGAAATTGACAGACATGGAGAAAACAGATGAGGAAAGGGGCTGGTGGTTGAAATTGCTGTTTATCCTAGAGGAGGTTGTCAGAGTGCAGCCACTGCTGCATAAGGCGTCTCTCTTAGGCTAAGGGAAGTAAGTGCAAAATGCAAATAGACAGTAAGAACCAGGCACTTCAACAGCCAGATGGGCAAGATCATTCAAGTTGGATATTAGGAAAAATTTCTTCTTAGAAAGAGTGGTAATGTGTTGGAATGGGCTGCCCAGGGAGGTGGTGGAGTCACAGTCCCTGGAGGTGTTCAAGAAATGTATGAATGTGGCATTGAGGGACGTGGTTAGTGGGCATGGTGGTGACGGCTTGACAGTTGGACTAAATGATTTCAAAGCTCTTTTCCAACCTTTACGATTCTGTGATTGTCCACAGTGAGCCGGACTGAGGCTGCGTCAGTTTCAGAGATGCTTATCTCCCCTACTCATGCTGGGTAACAGTCACCCTCTAGCCCACCCAGCTCCACTGCTCAGTCCTGGCTCGGCTTGGAGGCCTGGTGCTGAAATGTCCAAAGAAGGAATGGAGACTCCCATGGGGCTGTTGCCGGGAATGATCTGAAGCACACATTTCCTCTTGTCCCTGCCTAAAGCAGACCTGCTCTGAGTGCCATGATCATGGGCCATGGAGAAGTTAACTGCAGCTGAGGACACATCTGCAATTTGGCGTAGATAGGTTCTTTCCACAGAGGCTCAATTTCTGCATGACCTAATCTGGGTTTGCTGATTCTCCGCACTGTGAGTCACAGTGTGCATGGTCCCTTGGTCACTGCTGCAGGGTTTCACAGTGGCCTTTTGCTCTTCCTAGGGAGAACAGCTCTGACTTGGGTGCCATTTGCTCTTTGATACTTTTCCTTTTATGCACGATAAGATCATCACGATCTGCAGCAACAGCAGGTTGTCATCCTAAGACTCTTGGAACAGCAAGCAATATGTTAAGCTGGCTAGGATCTGCAGTGGTCCAAAATGATGCCTGTATGAAGAGTTTCCCCAAGTGAGCAATTGGCAGCTCCCAGGAATTGAAAGCCTTGGAGAATCAGTCCCTGGTGTGGGGCAGCCTGTCTGGTCAAGGGAAAGCTTTGCAGAGCTGGAAACAGGGAAAAAGTCTCAGTATAAAAATAAAGCAGAAACTGACCATTCATGGGGAGGCAATCTTCGGCTTCCCCAGCAGCTTGCCCAGCACCCATGGGAAAGCTTTTGCCATAGGTAAAGCTGGCCTCTCAACCTAAGGGCACTCTACCCTAGCCTGTACCTAATGGGCCAACTGAACCCTGAGCCTTTGCAGATTCCCAAGCTGCAGGCGTTGGGCCATGGGTGCCAGATTAGCTCTTTTTATTTCCTTTCATTTAGCAGGATCCTGCAGAGCTGGGCAGCTGCCAGTCAGTCTGTCAAGACACGAACTATTTTGGGAATTTTTATGATGGAACAATATTTTTTCGGTAAACAAACGGAAAGCTGTTAAACAGGGACCTTCACCTCGCAGCTCCCGGTTCAGCTCCCTCACTGCTGTGATGCCACAGTGCCTGTACTGTCCATTCTGCAGAGCTCCCTTCATGGCTCCTGCAGGGGCAAAACAAATAGGAGCTTTTTTTTCCCCTTTTCATGAACTCCTCCTCAACAAAAAAAAAAAAAGAGAGAGAGAGAAGAAAAAGAGTCATTTTGGTTTATACAGCAGAAGCATTTTCTTGGTAGACTTAACCCCTTACACACCTGAAGGCAAGCTTTATGTTGGCTTGTCAGTGGTGCTGAGGCTCAGGCTGTGCAGCATCTAACCACCTCTCAGGCCGGATTTCCTTGGGATTGCTGGAGTACAAATCCAGCCAGCGGTGACTCAGGGCTGACGATGCTCAAAAGGAAGACTTCCTTCTTCACTGCCTGTCAATGAGAAGCCCCAATGGAGTTACAGAGTGCAGAGGAAGGTGCTTGTGCAGAACTAAGCAGTGGAAGGAAGGGCAGAAACCTGTCCCACTCTAAAATGGAGGTACCACATCTCTTTGGAAAAGCCCATAAGGGGCTCATTTGTCCTTTTGCTGCCACAAGCTAAAACTGGTTTCACCATTTCGCACATTTTCATGTCAGTGAGGAGTCTAGTTTTACATGGAGCACATCTGCCCCAGGCTTTGGGGGAATCAGTTGGTGCCAATCAGCTGGAACAAGCTGAGACATCTGCGTGTACTAGTCCGCTCTACGCACACTTTGTCCACGTCACAAAGGCATCTTGTGGTTTTCTCCAGTTCCTGGAATGTCCAGTCCAGCTTGTACAACAACTCTGGCTCACAGGCCTTCCTGGCAGCCCACTAACTGCAGAGCATGCCGATCGCTGAAGGGTCTCAAGGGATGCCACTCTGCTCCTCTCGTCTGCCCCTTGTTCCACTGTCAGGCTCATCAGGGAGTTGTAGGTTACCCCACTGAAACCTCACACAGTGGGATCTTTGTTTGCCCTGTCCTGATTCTGCCTAGAGGTCTCTCCTGTAACTTATTAACTGTTCTCACTCAGAGGCTGTGCCGCTAATAACTTTCAGAGAATCCTTCAGCATGGTCCCACCTTCTCCCTGGCTAGCTGTCTTTGCTTCTCCACAGCAAGCCCTGCACTTCCCTCTCTTATCTCTCAGTTTCTTGTTTACACAATCTTGACAAGTCAACTCTGGATCCTTTGCACCTCACCCTTCTCCCTCACATTCTGATGCTTCTAGGATTTCCCATGCCCATCCATACGCGTGTCCTTCTTCCCACTAAGAGGTTTTGAACACTCTCTCAGGGCAGCCCTCTCACCCCACTGTTCCTTCTCCCAGTGCTATCTGCACAGAGTGCCATTCCTTGGCTCTGTGTTCCAAGGAACAGAACTCAGCCCCACCACGGGTACAGCACTCCAGCTGAGTCCCAGGAATGCTGGAAGGACACGGGGTGAATTTCTCAGGAACTGCAACTGTGCCCCTGCATGAGAGATGCACACCCATCCTCAGCTCCCCTGGTACTTAGGACATCCCTGTTCTGCAGATGGAGCTACACAGGCCAGTTTATTCAAATGTTTTGGATACCGTGTCTGCATTTTTAAACAGACACCTAAGCTCTCAAAATCCATGCAGCTATTATTTCCTGTGATTACTACTTCTACTATCTACTATTGGAGTCCCACTCCTAGTTTCTCTTCCTACTTTGTCTTCCCTGACTTTACCCACTCACTTCCCCTCTCTTTGTTGCACCCAAACTTAGTCCCATGCAGTGAATTCATGTATACTTTGCTCGCCCACTTGGCTCCCAGCAAATAACCTCCAACCCCAGCAAACAGCCCAGCTCTGTTCTTTATCTATCTTTCTCCTGAACTGATTGTGCTCTGCAGGACATTCCCTCTGTAGCACTCAGTGGCTTACGTAAATTAGTGTCTCTCATGCTTATTGCTCCTGTTTCTCCTGCTCAGCCTCATTCCTTCCCTGAAGAAGGATTCTCTTTCTGCTGTAATTTTATGCCTCCAGCTTTGATCCAGCTTGGTATCCTCCAGGTCCAGCTGCGCTTCATCTTCTGTAGCAGCTCTAGAAGCATGGCCACACTGGATGATTGTAAAGTAAGTCATGCTGATGTGACATTTTCTACCTTGCCCAGTGTCTCTCTGAGCCTTAGTCTTAGCTTTTCAGCTCTGTTTTCTCCCTGAAGGACCCTCAGGGCTAGCTTTATGATCCTTCCCTTGAACGTCAGCATTTACCTCATGCAGGCACAACAGAACGTTTTTTTGTCCGTATAGATGCCTTGTAAATGGGAGGAGCAGGGAAAAGGTCTTGAATAGAGAGACAGTGGCAGAATGTTGCCCTGAGCTGGAGCATGGGGGCCTGCCTCATCTCTGCCTGTGCTTCTGGGGAAGACATTCTTTCTCTCAGCTTCCAACCTGCAGGCAGCTCCTGGACCTCTGTTGTTTGTGACACTGCCATTTGTTGCCTTGGAAATAAGTGCTGTTTTATCCCAAACAGAGCCTACAGATTCACAGCACAATCCAGCAAGAGGAGCAGCTGGTTTTCCCCATCTCTGTCTTCTTTCCCATTATCCTCCACCGTTAGATGACAGGAACCTATGATTCAGTGTTGTGTTCATGTCTCAGCTCTATCTACCAACGTAAGTTGGGGAGCCATATTTCTGCTGGATATGGAGTGCCTTTGGGTTTAGTATCATCATTTTGGCTTCTTGTAAATGGAACTTGACTAAAAGCCTAATATAAACAACTTTTCTTGCTGATTTCAGTGGTGACCATGAGTGAAAGGCAGAAGGAAGGTTTGACACCTGCATTTTTCTGTTTCCTGGGGCTTTCTAGTATCCTTTCTTATGCTCTCAGCCCTCTGTAGGCTCATTTTGCTATTCTGTATGTTGCACTTTGGACACTCGTGCTCTCTCTGCAGCTCTGCACTCTCCTTCCTTACCTGAAGCTCTCCAGGGATTTGGCTGCAGTTTGGCTGTGGTCATGTGAGGGCATTGAGTTGAGGATGTATCTTCATGCAAATGTCTTTTTCTGGAAGCAGTTTTCAGAAGAGTAGTTGGTACTGGGCTCCAGTGGGATCATGTCTCTAACAAGAACTTGGGGAACCAGAGAGACGTGAGTGCTCTAGAGGGCTGAGAAGCCCACAGGATCTGAAATGGTCCAGGGAGCGAACATCTCCAAATCTAAGGTCAATTGCTTTGCAAACAGTTCACTTTTCATTCTTTGGCTTTATTCTTTGTGATTCAGTTTGATTTGTTTGAATTCTGTTCTAAGTTTTATGTCTTATCCAGCGCTTTGCTGCCTGGGTGCTGTTTTTCATTGCCAGAGCAAACAGAAATGGGTAAATTTAGGCTGGAGATTAACAAAATGTTTCTTCCTTTCTTAGCAGTATGATCTTTGAGCAGCTTTCTAGTGGGAACAGTGAGAGCAAAATCCAAATTGGTTTCAAGACTGAGCTTGGTTTGTTTATGATAGGGATTATATAAGTGATGGCATTACAGCTTGTGGCTGAGTTCAGCGATCTTTCAGTCCTGACTTCCTGGGGGCCAGCTAGGTTTAAAAATCAATTGAAGACTGGGAGATTGTTCTCAAGTGTGCTACTGGGGTCAGGGGCAGAGGGGCACAGGCCCGTGAGGTAGAGTCATCAGGAGGAGAAAGGAAGAGGGCTGCCTTTCCCGTCCTTGCTGTATTGAGCTCTTTTGCTTATCACCAAATTTATCCTTTCTACAGTGAGTAACTGACTGAGGCTCCTTGTGCTGCACCATTAATCTGTGGCTTTCCATTAACAGGCAGGTGCTTGTACCCGGGGGACCACCGTGCTGACTGCCAGCGATTCCTGGCAATGGGTACTACGGAGTTAAGCAGCCAGGCTGGAGTGTGCAAACAAACAGTCAGGCCTGTGCTAACAGCCCTGCTTTGTGCTGGTGGGAAGCACAGGCTCCAACTTCTTCCGATTTCTCACCTGTCCAGACTGGTACAGAGAGAAAATGCCTCTTGGAACTACACAGAAAACCACACCTATTTACAGTGGATTCCCCAGGGCCCTCCTGTGGGGTATTAACCCTTTAGCCCCAGGCCCAGAGCCTCCAAACGCTTCCTCTGGCAAAGCAAATCTCCGTGCTGTGGGAGGCAGCCCTCCTCTGCTGCACAAACATCCACTGCCCCTCTGCTCCCTGCAGCAAGGCGCTGCTTTTCTTCCCTTCCCATCTGCACAGTTCTCTCTGTCCTTTGGGTAGCTGTGTGTGGGGCTCTGTCGGTGGGTGCCAGGCTTCCCAAAGCAGCCTCCTCCCCCAGAACACAGAACTTCTCTGCAGTGTTTGGGTTGGAGCTGTGATCACCCTCTGTGTTGTTCTCAGACCCCACTGCGTTTCCCTGAGATACCAGCTCATCCCTCCCCCTCGAAATACCCAATTCTTCTTCCTGCTCTCTGTTTGCTTTCCCTCTTTTCCCTGGTTTCTGAGTTCTCTCGGAAGGAATCCCGTGCTCCGGCCTCCTTGGGCTGCAGTGTTGTGTTGTTGTTTTTCCTTTCGTCGCTATGGGCAGGGATTTCAGATACCGAGCCAAGGAGAGGAGGGAAGAAGGGAGGCAGAGGAGGAAGGAGGGAGCATGGGGGGAGGGACAGAGAAAGTCAGGAAAGTGAGAAAGTGAAGTATGCAGGGAATGGGGTAAAAAAGCCATGGTGAGGGAATGAAATGGGGAAGGAGGAGAGAGAGCATTGTGGAAAGGAAGGTTTGGGGATAAAGGAGAGCTTTTTCATTGTCCCTACTAACGCCACTGCAGCAGACAGCAGTCTCCAAAGGAAGGCAGGGAAGCCCACCGTCTGCTTAGGGAGCAAGGCGGGAGAAGTTATTCAAGGCAAAGAGGTATCCTTCAGACAGTGAGCATCCAACCTCAGAGCAGTCAGTCAGGAAAGATGGCAGCAGGGAACATGGGAGGTGAGAACTTGGTGGGTAAGGAGAGAATGTAAAGCACAAAAACACAGTAAAACTTATAGGACCTTTAAACGTGATGGAAGTAGGAAGCCAGGAGAGGGCTTACAGATTGACTGAGAACATGGAGGAAAGTAGGGCAGCTAAGGAAGGTAAGGGTGCTGCAAAGAAATCAAATAATTCCTAAACCGAAAACCAAGATAACTCCCTACCGGTGCAGCTCTGGGTCCAGATGAGGCACCCTTAGGCCATGGAAGTTATTAAAGGAAATGTGGATGTGTCTGAGAGCAGCATGCCCCTGATCAAGCAGCAGTTCGTCAGGAACAGTGACTGATAGAGACCAGCAGCTGTGTGCAAAAATAGAGGAGGGCAGAGCTGCAGATACACATCTTATTTCAGTCCCAGGTACATTGCTGAAATGGCCATTCTGCACGTCCCCTCTGCACACCCACCTGCTCAGCTGCATAGCAGAGAGGTCTGCAGCTCACTTTCCTCTGCAAAGAGAATCGTGCTCCTGGAGCTGCTAGGAGTTATGCAGTGCTTCCTGCTGTAGGAAGCATGGCAAAGCATGGGATTGAAACAAGTTGTGAGTGGGGTATCTCAAAGGCATTTCATGCTGAGGGTATGTGGCCATGGGGTGAGCTGTGCTGGCACTCCCGAAACATTGCAAGGAAGTGGAGACCAAAGGCCCCAAAGGCTCTAAGTGGTTCATATCTGGGAACCATGCAGGGGTGGTGTTATAACAGGATGGGAGCTGACCCAGATGGTATTGTATTGGCACTCAGTGAGCCTGGGATGCACCTTTATTGGGAATACTCTGTGTGCTTCTCCTCACCCCTGCTGGGAAAAGCAGGGGAGATAAAGGCAGATGCATCCTATATACTTCAAAGTCTAAGCCAATGCCTAACCAACAAAGATAAGAAGGAAATTCCTCTCTGATAACTTATCCCACAACTGTCCAGAATAAAGACTACTTAGCCAAAAGGTTTCAGCACTGTCAGAGACAAGCTCATGGGCAGCAGTTGCCAGACTGGTATCTGCTCAGTGCTCTGTATAGGCAAACAGCCAGAGATCAGTCAGCCCAGTCTGCAGCCCAGACCCAGCTGCTTTCCCCCACACTTCCCTGCTGTGAGTTGGGGGCAACACTCCATTCTCTCCTACAGCCTGTCTTTTTGCTCCCCGTGCACAATGACTGGAATTTACTTAAAAAGATATACATAAAATCGGCTAGAAATTAGGTAGGGTTAGGTGATGGGAGCAGCTAAACTAGAGCTGGGGCCAGTGGGGGTGGTGCAGCATGCATCAGAGGTGGCTGAAGGGCAGCTGCTGCCCAACTCAGGTCACTGCTGCCCTCCTCTGTGGCATTTGTCCTGTAGGCAGGTGCTGTACTCCGACTGAAAGGAGTGTGAATGCTGAATCTTGGTTGTCTCCTTCAGCGGATTGCTCCCCCAGTGCCCATCAGGTTTGCATATGATCCCCGTGCTGAACGCAAAGGATAGGATTGGGAACAAGGGGAGCAGAGTTACGAGGACGTGGGGGATTTAGGTGGGTGGGTGACATGTGAGGAACTCCGTTTCTTCTCCAATGCTTACATGCTAACTGGGGGAGCAAGGAGCTGGCCTTAGGCGTGGGATCAGGCAGAGCTCCTGCACAGCTCTCCCAAAGGCTGAGAGCACCTCTCTTGCAGTGGAACTCCTGGGTTGGTGCAGCTCTGTTTTGCTATAGAGTTTGCTGTATTCCTGCTAACTTCTTGATCCCCATGTTGCGCTGCTGGGCTCTGTTCCCACATCCAGGAGCTTCACCTTCCACACATTTTATTTGGGACAAAAATATGCAGATCATCCCTTTGGTCTGAGGAGGAAGCCATCCTGCAGACAGAGGTACTGACAGCTTTTTGCATTTTGTGCCGTGGAACATCACCTCTCCCCAGCTCTCACGGCTCCCTCGCAGGTGCTGCTGTTCCCATGTGATTCATTTATCTCTGTGGTGGTGGCAGAGCTGAGCAGCCCCGGTCGGGTGGCTGTGCTTGCCCAGTGCTCCATATCCCTCAGCAAGCACTCTGCTTGTCTGGGGCTCTTCTGTTCACTTTCACCCACTGAAACCGCAAATTCTCAATGAATTCCTATGCCCGAGTGAAATTATATCTGGAAAGCAAACATGTTTTGTGTTTACATGAGGCAAAACCCACTTTGGGAAAAGAACAGTTCCGGCATAAGCGGCAGTGAGAGCAAGGAGAATTCCCCTGTGAGATGAGAACCCTTGTCTCCAGAAAGAGTGATGCAAGTGTGTCCCTTCAAACGTGTGTAAGTGCTGCCCTGAGCAAGGATGTTTCCCTGGAGCTGGCCCCAAAACAGTTAAGAAATCACAGTGAGGGATAACCCGAATTCATCATAATGGAGGCTTAGTGTCCCTGGGAGAGGGCACCTGCAGGGTTGAACAGGGAGGGAACGTCATTAGGGGGTGAACAGAGGGGTTTGGCTGGACCTGCTGCTCCCTGAAGGCAGCTGTGCATGAATTGCTGGGGAGTTCTGTCTGTCAGCCATGCCAGGGTCCCTCCAGCTTAAGGTGCTACCAAATCTGTCCTATCTGATACAGGGAGGGGAAGGAATGTATATGGGAAAACACACTGCAGCTTGCACTGCTCCCTGATGTGAGGTGCCATTAGTGAAACACTGGAGTTGTGTGCAGAGGTGTATATGGAAAGTGTTCTGCCTCTCCCAAATCAGAAAGATGATGGCATGAGGAGAGCAGGAATGAAGACATGGGTGCTGTGTCCTGCACAGCTCGGTTGCTGTCCCCTGCAGTAGGACAGCACGACTGAGGATGTCCTGTGCTGAGCGGTTCTGTTTCCAGCTCAGTCCTGACTGCACTGCCCAGTTAGCTGTTCCTAGGACACAGATGGAGGGACTGGGATGTGCTGATGGCGAGGAACTGTCAGTGATGGGCAGCGTGAAGGTGCCAAGAAAGGAACTCTGTGGGACCTGAAAGGGAGCGACGACTGATGAGCCTGGAGCAGGAAGATGGAGCTGCTTTGGGAGCACCAATGCGGGTGCATCCAGTTCCTACCGCGGGTCCGCACGGCCCTGTGTGAGCCGTGCATCCCCAGCAGCCTGGCAGGTGCAGGTGAGAGAGGGCCAGCGGTGAGGGAAAGAGGAAGGAAGAGATTGGCATCCATGCAAATCAGTTATCGGGAAGGCCCCGGTCCCGCGGCTGCTCCCTCGTCCCCACCTGATATCCGCGTGCCGTGCCAGCGGCCCCCGGGAAGTGCCGGTGATAGGGGCCCGAAGCAGCGGGGCCGGGGAGCCGTGAGCCCCTCCGCTTCTTCCCGGCTCCTCTGCATCCCGGCTGGGGCGCGGGGCGGCCGGCTCCGCGCAGAGCGACACGGGTCGGGCCGGGGCAAAGCAGGACGGGGGGCAGCGGTGCGGCGGGGCCGGGGCTGCCGGGGGTGCCGGTGCCGCCGGCTGGTCCCACCCCTGCGCGCCGCTCCCCGCCCCGCGGCCCCGCTCCCCCGCCCGCCCTCCCTGACGTGTGGCGCTGGCAGCCCAGCCGGTTCCGCATTCCCGACCCCTCCCCGCAGCCCGGGGCCGCTATATAACCGGGGCTGATGCAACCCACCCCGCCGCCCGCCACAGCCTGCGGGAGGCGCGCACCGGGGCGGCGGGGGGCGGCGGGCCGAGGCTCCCCGGCGGCGGCCGGCACCGGGACGGACACCGGCGGCGGGCGGGGCCCGGGAGTCGGGGCAGCGCCGGGCGGCGGCGGGGCTGAGCCTGCAGCCCGCGCCCGGCCACTGCGGCCGGGCCCCGCGGGCACCCGGGCGGCCCGCTCCCCGTGCACGGTGGGTGCGGGCGCGGCGCGGGCGGACGGACGCCGGGCGGGCCGGGGCGGCGGCGGAGCCCGGGGGCGGCTCGCGGGCGGGGTGGGGGCACGGCTGCGGCCGGGCCGGGAGCGCTGCGGGGATCCACCCTCCCCCCGGCTGCGGGTCGGAGCGGGGCCGCCGGCGGCCCGGCCGGGCCGTGCGTGGGTACTGCCTTCGGGGACGGGGTAGAGCTCCCGCGGGGGTGGCGACGAGCAGCCCTGGGGGCGGTGGGGGCCGGCCGCGCTGCGCTCCACCTGCCGCACGTGGGGGTCTGCGCTCCCCAGTGCCGTGCGGACAGCGCCCGGCTGCTGCCCGGGGAAGGAGCGGGGCCCTGCGAGCCCCTCCGCCCGCTGCCCGGAGGCTGCTGTAGCGCTCGGGCGTGGAGTTGAATGGAAGTCGCTTTCTTTTGCTCCGGGAGGCACTTTTCTTTTTCCATACTGAGGAGAGCAAATCGGGGGAAAGGGAGAAATACCAAGAGAGCAAGAGCCCCATTATGTTTCCATTTTCCTTTAATGAAGGCCCTGTGGAGGTGTATTTGAAAACACAGGGTCTCCTATGCCTTCAAGGAGGGTGAGAACACAGTGCTGGCTGCTTCCAGGGCCATATGCAGCGTATGGTGGCCAATGAAATGGGGCCTGGCTCGTTCTGTTGCTTGTCTTGGCAGCCAGCTTCATGGCTTGTGTTACCAGCCCTGGAACACAACCACTGCCAAACCGTGTGTGTGTGTGTGTGTGTGTGTGTGTGTGTGTGTGTGTGTGTGTTTGGACTCGGAGCTCAACAGAAACAAATGCTCCAGCAGCTCAGACTGAGATTTTTTAGCTGGTTTTCAGACAACTTGCACGAAGAACTCTATGTGGAAGCCATTGCCGGAGCTGCAGTGGGAATTGGCTGCTTAGTGCTTTCGGGGGACATCTGGGAATACTGGTTGTTGGAGTTCACATCCTCAGTATGACTCTCGGTGATTGAAAAATGAGAAAAGCTCTCTGTGTGGGGGTGAGTGCGTGGGTGGGAGCTGCTGTCCAAACCATCCCTGTGTCAGGCAATGGCTGGCTGTCAGTTCCTCGGGTCCCTGGGATTTAATGAGGTCGGCTAACTGCAGGTTGCTGCTCTGCTCCTCACCGTGGATGCTTCTCCTTCCTCTGTACAGCTGAGCATGACCTTTCTTACAGGATGCAGCGCTCTGTGCTGCGCTCCCGGCTGCAGAGGAGCAGATCTTCACTCCTGCTCCCTGTGCCCCCCATTGCTGCATTGTGCTCTGCTACACTCTTGTGAGCATCTGCTGTACACTTTTTCGCTAAGCTGATGTTTGCTGCTTCAGCTGCATGGCCTGGGCCGGGTACTTGGCAGCACACAATGCTGCAAACATGTGAAGCTTCTTCTCCCTGCAGGAGGCTGTGCCCTGTCAGTCCTGGCTACCTCAGGACCAGGTCAGGGAGGGCTGTGGTGTGTAGCATCCTGAAAGTGTCCCACAGTGTCAGCCCAGCATTGGGCAGGCACAGCAGGCCTGGTGCTGTCTGTCTGGACTGCTTGCATGGATTGCTGTGTTGCACTTAGTGCCCAGAAACCAACCCAGCACTGCAGGCTGTTTGTTATGCAGTGGGAGCTGCAGATCTGTGTGATCCTCCACTGAGCAGGGCTACTGCATCTAGCTGTAGCTGAGTGAGCAGCATAGCTGGCCATGTCAGCATTCAGAACGTAGCTTTTTGGGGTTTGTAGCCCTCCTTGTCCCCTGGGGTTGGAGCTTTGTGCCTGAGGAGAGTCGTCTCTTGAGAAAGATTCAAACCCTATCCATGTACGGCTGTGGAAGGCCTTGGGGGGATGTTAATGCCTCTGCTGTTCACCTCTGAGCTGTAGCCTGGCTCAGCGCATTCCCTCATCCCTGATTCCATTTCAACTGCTCTAAGCAGGAATAGGACAGCTTTTACCCTCCTGTTTTGTCTTGCCCACCAGTGTGTGGTGTGGCACTGTAAATGTCGGCCACAAATGCCTGCTCCACAGACAGATAATTAACTGCAGTAGCTGCAAGGAGTCTTGCTGCACTAGGTGCTGTGCAACCCCCTACTACTACAGGTTGCTCCGAGTCGATCACTGCATTGCAGTGGTGGGGGTATAGCATCATGCTAATCCATGGCTTCTTAGAAAGGATGGAGAAAAATGCTGGAGGAGGACTGATTTCTCCACTCGTAATGGGAATAAGTCACAGCATCAGACAGGTGTGGGGCCGGGTGGTGTAGTGCAGCTGGGGGGTGCTGCGGCACGGCAGGAGGCTGTGTGTGCCGGGCTGCCCCTGGCATGGTGCAGGGAGATGGGTGCCCCCCTGATGGAGGAGAGCAGGGAAGCAGCAAGGTCTGTGCTGCTGTCAGAAAGCTTTTCACAGTCTAGTCACAGACTAGGAATGACTTGGGTGTTCACACTGCTATCTGCGTGCAACTCTGTGCTCAGAACTGAGCCAGGCCTTTCCCACTCAAGAAATGGGTTTAGAGTTCCAGCTCCTGAGGATCTGCCCTTCAAAGATCCTTCCTCTCCTTAGCATCGAGGCCCTGCAGTCCGATTGCAGCAGCTCAGTGGTTTAGGGTGAGGTGTTACTCAGTAGGGTGTTCACAGACCCTGCAGTACTCTGCTTGCTCTGCAGGGTTACCCATGGGATGGAACAACTGGATGGGCAGCTGGAGGTGCCTGAGAGGGGCATAGGTGCTGCTTTGGCCTTGCAAACCCAGGGCTGGGTTGCAGGAGCTCTTTGTCCCTTGGAGATAGAAGTGAAGCATGGTGGCAGCGTGGCACTGCAGTGTCTGGCTCGCAGAAGAGGCATGCTGAACTGGTAAGCCATACTGTTGCCATGCCTCAAATTGGTGTTCAGACAAGGGGGAAATTCTTTGGATGCTGTGTAACACTCACTAATCCGGTAGCCTTGCTAGAGAGGGGGGCAGGCACAGTTCAACCCAGTGGGTGTCTCTGCAGTGCTTTTGGGACAGTGCAGGTGTTGGGTTCCTCTGCATCACTGGGTTCAGCAGATGAGTGAATAAATGCACAGTGATGGTTAAGGCCATGCTTGCATGCAGTAGAACATGGACAGCTGAAAGGACAGGTTACAACCAAAGGGCTTGGCTGCTGTTGTGTTCTGATGGTTGGCAAATAACCTTGATTCTGATGAGTGTGGCCTTTGACACTGGAAGTTGCTGCTCTTAAAAAATACAGATGAGGAGAAGCCAAGCAGTGCTGTCACCCCACAGCCTACATCAAACCAGGCGTGCTGTGCAGGTCCTAGTCCCCTGGGAATGGGAGCACTTCGCATTCTAGACAACTGAAGGAAAAAGTGGCTGCATACTCCTGGCACTGGGAATGTGAGGTAGTGGTTTTCTGCCTTTGGCTCTGTGGTGCTTCACAATGGGTGATGAACCTTGAAGTGAAAGTGTTTCTGGGCTCCAGTGACCCTCAGCCCCCTGCAGCCTCCCCTGCCAGATGTGCCCAGATGAGAAGAAGCAAGTGAGCATGTTCAGAGCAAGCAATAGCAAATTGCTCTGTCTTTGTTTAGAAAGTTGCATTCTTGAGGCATGAGAAGTTGGGCATGTCAGGAAAGGGCTTTCATATAAATCATCCTTCTGCCAATGGGAAGGAACTGGAAGGATGCAATGTACATACAGACCGAGCAAACTTTATAGCCAGGAGCAAAAATAGTAAAAAATGACAGAAAAGCCAAGCCCAAATGTTGCTTCTCATGGATGGCAGCATTACCTCTCATCTCCAGAGCAGAGTACTTGCCTGTTGGCCATGAGCAGGTGAAGGGCTGACTGCTGTGACGTAGATGCTCCAAGGCTGTATGTACAAATGGTAATAGTATGGGAAGTGCTGATGTACTGATGAAGAGATCAAAGATGCTTGTGTGGTGGCTGGTGGACTTTGGCAGATCTCCTGTGCATGGCAGCTGCTAGGCAGTGGCAGACACCCAGGTGGAGCATGGCTAGAAGCAGTGGGCAGGCAGCAGGGAGGGCTGTCAGGGCAGGCTTGGCCTTATCGCTGTGCTTCTTGTTGAAGAGAACCATGCTGGTATTTACTGAGTGGCAAAAGCCCAGGTTGGCAGTGTTATGAGCTGGACTGGGCATGGGAATGGTTCCTGGTTCAACCACTGCAGATGTCAGAATGCAGTACAGCTTGTGTTGGAAGAAACTGTGACTTATAGCCAGCATCTTAACAAGAGGCTGAAAATCTGATAGTAAATAGCTCCCACCGTCACTGAGAAAGCTGTCAGGGCTGATAAGACAGCAATAGCAATCTAAATTGAAGTGTGGCTGTCAAAATGCTTTGTGATGTTGTGGTCCTCTCTGCACGATGACACAACAGTCGCAGCGGATTTGTAAAGGAGCAAACAGCACACTTGGGTGGGCGAGGGTGCATAGAGTGGTCCTGGGATCCGGTGGATACAAATTAAGGCTGCTTCTGTATGGGGAAATGAATGTATGGCTTTCGCACAGGTGGCCATTCCTGTGCCAGGTTTAGTCTGTGGGTAATAATAGCACTGAAGAGGTGGCAGAGGAGCACGAATGTAGGCTAGCACGTGGAGTACAGCCCTCAGGGACCTGGGCTGCGTGGATTGTGCCTACGCTCATCAGATTTATGCTGTAACTGCTGTGCTAATGTCAGCTCCTTCAAAAAAAAAAAAAAAAAAAAGAAGCCAAACCAAAAAAAAAAAAAAACAACAACCCTTAGAATCACCAAAAAAAGCAGCAGCAAAATCAGCATGGAGAAAAAGAACACAAAACAAAGCCCTCAAGCAAATGAAGATTTGAACTGTAGGAAAAGAACAGGAGTGGATGCAGGGACAGTGTCATTGAAGTGCTGAGCAAAGGTGTGGGACGGCATCAGCTCAGTGAAGGCCTTCCCACAGGGCAGCTGATCCCAGGAAAGGCCAGACCCTGGCTGTGGGAGGAATATGGGGAGCACTGTGTGCTGCCTTGAGCAAAGTGCTGAATCAGCTGGTATCA